AAGAGTCCTGAATATTTGAACACAATCAGGACATAAACAGTAGGACTGGTGGCATGGTGCCATGTGTATGAATTTATTTATTTATTTGTTTTCCACAGGTACACCAAATTGCTCCTTATTTCACCAGCAGTCTTGTTTCTCCTAGTGTGGCACAGAGGAGCAGTATCGCAGAACAAGGAGCTAAACTCCCCTTTGATTGCTCTTCAGTAAAAGTGCCTGGACACATTGAAAATATGGTGGTGTTGAGGTGCTGCCTCCTGCCCCTTGCTTGGTGCTCTTGCCCTAGTACAGGGAGGTTGGAAGGGAATGTGAGTTGCACCTTTGGAGGTACCCTGTTGCAGTCTGAAGTATTGTCTTCAGTGAGTAATGAAGTACGTGTGTTTGTGGTATGACAGTCTCTAAATCAACCATCTTTTCATCCATCCATTCATCTAAATAAATCTTCATCCTTCCTCAGGACTCTCATGTAGAGTTTTGAAACATTTGTCATAGAGACTACTGGGTTTGAATGGGTTGGCAAAAGCTGGACAGTTTGCCAATGCCAGCTGAGGAAAGAGGTGCTAAACAGATGTTCGCAGCCTGAGGGTCTGAAGCCTTTAGAGGCTGAGGAAAAGGTGAGTGGAAAAAAGCAGTCACTGAAGTTCTTCAGCAAGCTTCTAGTTATCTTTTGCCACTTACCTTATCCCTTTTATTATCACTTTTGAAGAACTAAGATTCTGCATCTGATCGTCTAACTTCTTATTTCAAGCAGTTTTCCCCTGCATTTACATGGAATAGTGCAACTGTATTTGATGGAATTTTGCAGCCTTACAAGTTACTTTAGGGAAAATACTACAGTTTCTGGAGTAAGCTTTTGGAATTAAAGCTGAAGACTGACCCTAATTGAAACATCTTAGTAGATTTAAAGACTTCCCCCAGCCAAGTGAGGCATGTTTGTGCCTTGCTTCCTTCCTGCAGCAGCAGCTAGAGTTTTCTTTTGTGGAGTTTGGGAAAAGTAAATAAGGACATCACTGCTGCAGTTTGCAAATGCCCAGATAAATTGTACATTTCTTTATTACTATGTGTTTAATTGAAAAGGTAGTAGATACTTCCATGTGTTTTTATCTTGCCAGGATAATTCCTTTTATGCGGCAGAAGAATTAAAAATAATGGGCTGAGAGTCACTTGCTGGCTTCTGTCTCATACGCTTTATAATTCTTCTCCCTGAAGCGGTTTGAACTTCTCTGGCTATTTAGAAGATGGTAGACTTGGTGTAACAACACAGAATTAAACTTCAGAAAAACACCTGACATCTATTGCAAAATTGTGACGCTGTACAAATGGATCTAGGCAGCTCATTTCTACAATTTATATGGCTTAAGATTAAAATTTCATGTAGTTAATTAGGAAATGTAAATAAAATGAATGGTTATTAAAATGCAGAATGTAGACCACTATCAGAAATCGAGGAGTCCTAAGGTCAAGCTGTTTTCATTCAGATGTCTACATTTGGATATGATTCCTTAAAATGAGGCACACAGTGAGGCTTTGAAAATGTTGGTGCTTTGAAAGCATTGTTAGCTGGCTTGATAGACCAGCAGGGAGCTATTATTTCTATCATGTCCTCTGAGCAGAAGCACCACTCTCTGTTGACATCCTAAGGATATAAGCACAGGCAGCTTATCATGATATAACTGTTTATGTGGAAAATAAAGACTATTATTTTTTGGCTGATACTATGGAAAATTAAATTCTTTTCCTCAAGTAAGAAAAGAAAGTGAAATCACTTTGTTCCTATAATAATGGGAAAGAAGATTCAAACCTGGTGTCTGTTTTGAAAGTCTGGGGGAAAAAAATTTCAGCAGCCCGATAAATCATCTATTTTATTATTTGGTATTCCTCACATAAAAAGAGCACAAATGAAAAGGCCTGACCTTTTCATGGGCCTGAAGCCGAGCTCTGACAATAGTCAATACTTACAGCTAATAGTTGTGCAATTTAAGTTCTGCTGTATAATGATATATTTGTAAACAATTTTTTTTCCTCTTTTCCTAGGTCAACATGAGTAGCAAACTACTGGCACTAGGTATAAAAATAAAGTATTACTTTTCTGATGGTTGTTATCATCAGTCCTATAATTATAGTTGTGTAGAACTACCCAGGGAAGATGTTGATAAGGAAGCCAAGAAAATAACAGGCACAAGAGAGGAGCAGACAGTCATTGCCTTCCTGGTGGCCTAAGCACTGCACTAATCAACTCATGTGCTTTTCTTCTCTGATGCTCTTCTGAAACAAAATATAATAAGGAACTTCAGGAATATATTGTGGTGGGAGGAGACTATAAGAGACATCTAAAGGTAAAAAAAATATGGGAACTGAAATGAAACATGATGTGCTGATGTAACTAGGCACCTAGCAATGTCATGGACTGTCAAGTCTGGAGAAATTCAAAACTGCATTTCAAAATAGAAATTTCCCCTTTCCCCTAGTTAACCCACTTTTCAATGTTTCTTTCTCTTTTCTTTCTTTCTTTTTTTTTTTTTTAATGTTTACAGTGCAATAAAGTTTTTATTTTATTTTATTTTTTAATTACTTGCCTTCCAGTTTCCCTATAGGTAGAAGTCAGCAGCAGCTATTTCAGTACCTGCACATCTGGCGCCTCATAAAGGGATGTGCCAGAACTATCAGAAATGTTTAAAACAGTATTTAGACCAACCAGCAGCTATCAATTCAGGTGCAGAGAGAGAGAAAGAACCCAATTAGAAATAACTATGGGACCAAACTCTAGCAGATGTTCAATTACCCTTGCTACCTACCTTGCAACAGACTGAAGGTGCAGTTGGTGTTGTGTACATGCATTGTTTCAGGACTGTTCTTGAATTTCCAGGTGTAGTGCCATCTGAACTAACACTCAGTGATCCTACCACTCCCTTACAGCTATCCTGCAAAGGATGTCTTGTTGCATGGTGTGTATTTCTGTGCAGTTTGCATATGCCTAGAGCAACATGCTTCACAAATAAAATGTTGATTGTGTTGGTAAGGCTGGGTTAAAGGAAATGTACTCCTAGCAGTGTTCTTCAATTGAGCAGATATCCTTAAATTTCATATCATTTTCAAACGTGCTTCCATTTCACCAATTTTAGTTATCCTTAATCAATGTGGAAATGCAGCTTGGACTGCTGACACCTGCGAAGCTACAGGATTCTGTAGGTAAGTCTAGGTAAGGCTTTCTCTGCAATACCTGAAAGGTATCACTGTTACTCTTCTAACAGTGATGCTCCAGCACAGGGAGAACATGCACCTCCCACCTTCAGTTGGACTCTAGGTCATTCCAAGGAATGACTTCCATACTTGGTCATTTACTTAATCTAGTGACAAATTAAAAAGCATTATCTATCTTGCCAGGATAGAAAAATGATGTTTTTTTTATCCTTTCACAGCTGCAACTGAGAGAAACCAAAATTAATATTGCTCCTAAATGTGGATTGAGGCTGGAGAGATGCCAGACTAACAGGGTAAGGGTAAAAACTTGCTTGCTTTTGACAGGAGATAGGTTTTAAATTTACTTCCTACGCTGATGGGTTATGAAATGGAGTTCTGCAAAGCTAGCAGACAGGCATTAATTTTTATTGCTAAAATTGTGTGGCTGATGTTGGAAAAACAACCAGTCTACAAAAGAGTGCCCTGTCAGTGAAATGGAACATTTGGCAATGAATGAGTTACAGCTTTTTCCTCCTCAAAAGACTAAAGAAAAACTACTCTTTCCTCCTGGGGAAAAGCTGTAGATTGACGAATAAGTGAAACAAATGAGGGTCCATAGCCTCTCTTTTAGGAGATGTAATATTTTAAGTAATTTTGAAAGAAAATGCTTCATTTTTTGTCATACTTTAATATTCCTGAGCCCAGGGTGATGAGACACATCAATCTTCATTCTAACTACCATAACCTTGGAAAACTTTCCTTTTAGTTTGGGAGACCTGAGGAGCTGTAAAAGCACCTTCAAGGGGTTGGAAAAGTCTCTTAGAGGTTGAGAAGGATGGAGGGTTTTTTTGCTTTTCATGAAAGGCTCAACATTCACTGATGATGACTGTCGGCAAGATTTTATTCCTGTGGGCTGTTCTTTTCATTGCCCACCATTGTCTCAGTCCCTGGGAGAACTGGCATGTGAAGGTAGGTCATTCAACTTCACAAAAGTATAAGGAAATTGGTTCAATTTAAATATGAACAGTACTAAATCTTCCCTTGACCTTGTCATTGTCCTAGCCATTGGTTTGCCCAAATTCAGTTGTATATCTCTGCATCCATTTCTAGCTCTTTATGTTTAGATCCCCCAGATTTCATGTGTGGGTTCAAAGAGGCAACCACGTGTGGCACAGCTTCTAAGGCATGGCCATCTTTTGACCTTATATCTCATTGATTTTCACTGTGTTTTGTTCAGAACAGAGTGGTGTGTTGTGTACTTTTATATCAGCTTTTACTTTCTTCCTTGCTTTGCTATGATTTTATATGAGTGGCAACTAGAAAAGAACATTTTTATGTGAAAACTTTACATTTCACTATTGAAATGTACCAAAATGCGATTCCTGCCATATCTAAGCGAGATTAAAAAGGAAAATGTGTGTGTACTCTTGTCAGTAATTAATGTGCGCAGTTTCAGAGCTCTCATTAGTATGTTAGCACTTTGAGAGAGTGTTTATTGGTAACAGTGGTAACAAAGCTGAACACGGTGCAGCAGCAGGCAGGAGAGAGCAAAGGAAGAAATGGGACATTCTGTCTGATCATGCCACTTTGGGGCCTGAACAAAAACCACCTCAAATAGACAAAAAGCAAATGCTATGTAATTAATAACAGGGGAGAGAAAAACCTTAGTGCATTTTAAAATATAAAAGAAAAATGTTCAGAAACTACCCTACTGGGAAACACAATTTCAAAACTGTTATCTAAAAAAATCTGAAACATGCAAGGAGTCCTTTAAACCTGGATTATTATTATTTTTAATCTAGCTGAAGGTGCATATTTTGTACTTGGCTTTGGGACAATGGGTGGAAGAGGAATGAAATAATTCTAAGTTGAGAAAAAAAATCTCTTCAGAAAGAAAAGTTTCTTCACATGCAGTAATAAACATGAGTGAAAAGAATTGTGAACCTGGAATTTCCAGCTGAATCAGTGACAGAGATGCCCTGAGAAAAGAAGATTGTAAAGGTAAGGTGTTTTTAGTGACATTTCTGATACAATTTTGCTACCATTCATCAGAGCTTTCTTTAACTTGATGATCTTTTCCAAGAAAAAATGTCAAAATTTAGCACTGTGCATACTGTGTTTTTTGGATGAACTTGAAATGTGCTGAGTAACTACAACTGAAGATGGTGGGAGTTGTACAAGCTCAGCATCTTTTGGGATCTGACTCTGTGTACACATTCACTATGCAAACAGCTAATCAAGTTTCAAGAGTGATAGAAAGAAAAGTTTATTCTCCTTCCTCCAAAAGCAGTTAATTTCCAAGGATCAATTGAATCAAACACTGTATTTATGACATCCAGTTCCTCACTTAATCAAAACTAAACACTAATTTTATACTTCATACCTCCAAAAAGGAGGGTGAATAATTTATAACGAATAATTTTATGAATTTGGCCTTTTTCTGTTCATGAATTATCCACAAGAGATCATGACTTCTCCGAAGTACTTCTGCTCAGATTGATTCACTGAGTAATTCTTGGTCCACAGCAATTTGTTGTGAGGTTTGATATTTAACATTCCAACTGTTCTGATTGGACTCATTGGGAGATATTATAATTGCCAATTCAGCTTGTAGATGTCCTAAAATGATGCTTTCAGGCTGACTCATTGCAACTGCTTCAGCACTTTTTATAACTTGATATATTTTTTGTTTGTTTGCTGTTTTTTAGAAAAATGCTCTCAGCAAGCTTATTTTTGGAGTCATTGGATGCAAAAGTGCCATAACCTCGATGAAATTATCTGTTAGTGATCTTGATGGAAGGCATAATAAGTCTGGAAAGTAGCTAATGCTTTGAAAGCCTCTCTGTAGGACAGGGCATTGTTTGAAGCTGGGGCAGAGCAGATCTCTCAGCCTCTTTAATACAACACTTGTGACTATCTAGATCAATATCTAGAAGGTCAGTGGGTGTGTCCCTCATCAAAGCTGTTCTTTAAATCACTTTGCAGCACGATGGGTTGTGGTTACCATAGAAGTAAGCTAGCAGATGCTCTTGTTCCCATAGGCATTCACATACTTAGGATCACCTGTGTTTACTGTGTTGGCTCCTTTGTGCTGCTGCTTATGACATCCTAATCCTAACACAAGTGTACAGTGTTTGGTTGTCTGTGAGGAACTAATAAAGGCTTTGACAGATGTCAAATTTCAAGACAAATGGGTGGCTCTTAATTCACATTTTGGCTTTTTATAACAGGAAGAATGAAAACCCAGTATATTCTGGAACACATTCTGGAACATATTTTTACTTCTACTGGCATTCTCCAAGTCCTATCATGTAATAAACCATCATATAAAACAGGTTGCTTAGATATATATATTGTTTTATTCTTTGCTCAATCCCTTTTGTGATATGAAAATATTTCTTAACAGGACTGCCAGAGCAACACAGTAGGTGATGGGGAGAATAGTTAATATAAGATTCTTAATTTGTTGATAAGCTCCGTAGAAACAGATAATCACCCTTGTAGTTGTTGAAGATATAATTACATATAATTTTTATCCCTAATGGAAAAGGCAAGGTTTGCTGATTACACACAGACAAAGTTTGTGTCAGACTTTTTCTTTTTAGAGGCTCAGCGTATGACTGAACTATGTGTATATAAGAAGTAGAGTCAAACCTAGAAAATTATGCAGATACCTCAACATCTCAGAACTTGAGGCCAAAGATTTAGACAGTTCCTAAAGGCTTATTTACATTAAGGTATCTTGGTCTTGTGCCTTCATTTATTGGTTTGCCTTTTGATCAGTTCCACGCACACTGTGTCTCACCTAAAAAATCCAATGTGCAGGCTGGAAGGTGTAAAGACCTTCCCCGGATCTTCGCTCGCGAAGACGGGCCATTATATAAAAAGGTTCTGTGTTAGAGTACCATACCAAAAATTCTGTTATGTACACCATATAAAACCTAAACTATATTCTAGATCATGATCTTGGCAGGCTTTCTGTCCTCTCTTTTCATACATTCGTAAAGCACTGCCAGGAAAACCTGTGGGTATAGATTTATGCAAAACAGTTTAGTGGGAGGTAGGAGGGTGAGTTCATGGACTAGACAACCTCCTTCAGCCTATTACTTTACGATTCGGTGAAATTAATCTAATTTAAACAGAATAAAACCCCAAGGAATCAGATCTTCAGTTTGTACAAATTAACATTTTTCCTGGTCCCCAATTTCTCTGTGTTCTGGAACGGTAGGAAAGGTTTTTTTGCTCATATGGAAGAGAATTCAGCTGTTGGAACAAATGCCTCCTCCTAAACTCTAAACCTACTGTGATTGTTTGAGTGTGATTGTCAGAGTGTGATTGCCCATGTTTAGAGCACAGGATTTCTTGGTACGGGAGCTGTTTGAAAAAAATGATATATGTACATGTTCATGCATATGAGTGGATGCACTCACATGTAAATGAGAAAGTCAGGGAGAATAAATTTGTGGTGTCCAGAGGCCAAAAGAGACAGCTTTGGATTAGAAGACCAAGGAGGTTTTAACCAGTTAATATTGAGAACAACTGATGTGTGGCAAAGTTAATGTATCTTATTTAAAATGGAAAGATTTCGTTATTATTATTATTATTACTATTATTATTATTACATTATCTTCTATAGATGGCTAATGGAAAGTAATATGAACAGAATTACAGTCAGCTCCCTGTCACTCCCAATACATGCACTCATATGCGTAAATGTGTGTGCACACATCAAAGGAAAGCCTGAAGACTGAGACCATGACTGTAACTACTGGGCTTTGGTCTGCACATGGGGAATAATGAAACTTGACTATTTTATGTCAAAAATCAAAGTTTTCCAAAGCATATGAATGGAATAGACCAGTCTGCCAAAACATCTAAGAGAACCGTCTCTGCAGAGCTATTATTTCTCTTTTTTGTTATCTGCAGACAATTCCACTGCACATGAAAAAACCCCTGACTCAGGGGCATCAGATCAGAGATCACCTTTTTTGCACCCAGCTGGTGAAGCTGTTGTAGTACTCTGGAGGCACACATTTAACCAAAGTAACAGGGCAATGATCACCGCAGAGATCTGGAACTTCCTTCTTTCTTCATTTAAAGAACTAAAGTTGCTATTGTTACAGTGACATTGATCTAATTCTTTTATACAGAAAGAACACTAAATAAGATAAAAATGTCATTTCTCCTTTTACAGAAGGGTCTGGTTCAAATAAAGCAGTTCAGCAAACTTGTTAAGTGTCTACAGCCTCAACAAACCTGAAGAGTGTGAGGCTGTACAAATCATCACATGGAAGTGTGTAATAGGGCCTGGCAACAGTGGTTTTTATTGTTTATAAGCTCTAATAAAATCTGGAAAGCAAATGTCAAAAGCATAAATAAAATCGTATGTAAATGTACTGGTGATAATATTAGGACATTAAGAATAGCACTTTAAATATTCAAGTAATTAGATACTAACTAATCCTCATAACACATCTGTGCATTGGGTGGATAAGCATTACATCTCTAGTGAATGTGAAAACTGGAGCAGAAACCAGAGGTGATTTGAGCAGAGGGTGGGATGTCAAGTTTTTCTGTTGCTAACCTTCCTTTGTTCTGGATCATGGTGCCTAGAGTGCAGGAAGATGTATGTTCTTCTGTGTTCTGGCATTCAGGCTGTGTGTAGGAAAGTTGTCTTGACAAAGGCAGTTTTTTCATGCTGTTTAAAAGCCCAGTGATGGTGGTATTCCAGAGTGCAATTGCTCAGATTCTGGTTTTGCTAGTCTCAAAGTAACCATAAGCAGTTTTAGTGTGGACTTCTAGTTGTCCCCACAACTTTTAGTATCATATCACGCATGGAAAGGATTATGAAATAGTACTTATCAAATATTTTCTTCACTTCTTACCCAAGCAAGTACACTTTGGTTTAAATTGATTGATGCAACTGAATTGTGTGTTGGGTCTATACCAAATTAGAAATCAAGAAAACTGACGAAAAATGCAGAGTGAGGAGGGAGAACCCATTTAAAAATCAACTTATCTCATTTTCCCCAGCAGGGCCGGTGGCTGCAGGGTCTGCATGCGGTGGATGTGCTCTGTGTACAGAAGTGACTACCTGTGGTTGCAGTTTGGCCCCATTCTCCTGCTTAATGTAACCATATCCTTTGCTTGGGTAGCGTCTGGGTGAACATCTGTAAAAGGTCAGGCATGGGATGGTTTCGGTCTATGCTCGAAGTTTAGACAACTCTTTTACAAAAATGGAGAATGCAGGTAGGATTACTTTTCATCCTTAAAGTCTTGCTGCAGAGTTGGAAAATAGATGATGTGCTGCTGTTGATTCCTAGCTGCAAATATTTGAAATGTATTTGGAAGAATATAGGTATTCCCTGACTGAATGTTAGCACTTAGCAAGCATGGATCATTCTCATAACAGGGCTTCCATTTTTAATTCTCAGTGAAAAGAAACTGTTATTACCACTGTTCAAGAAATATCTTGGAAGAAGAGTTAAAAACCTGGATATATTTCTAAGCTTTTAAAGTTGGAAAGCCTGTGGTTGAAACCTTATATATTAAAATTCAGTCCTTCTGAAAACCTTGCCCAGGGGAAAATTTGGAGAGAAATTGAGGCTCACTTCTGTATTCTTATTGTTTTTAGCATGGTTGAAGAAAACAAACTGCTTAGCAACCAACTATTTAAAGATGCAAAAAACTATTTGGTATTTACAACACACACATGAAGTCCTGAGTGTGAGTAGCTTTCAAAAATGTTTGGGGTTTTTTTGTTTTATTGGGGTTATATTTTTTATTTATTTTTTATTATAGTGATTTCTGATAAACCTCTCACAGACCTCTCCTAATGTAGGATTTAGATGAAGGAGGATTAGATGAAAACAGTGTTGGTTTTGACTAGTCCAAGAGATCATTAGGAATGACCTTTGCACAAAACAACACGTGGCAGAAGACTTTATATCAGAGAAAATAAGAGGAATACTGAAGAAATAAAAAGTATTGTGTGATGCCTCCAGACTTGAGACAAGGCTCCTGGACTCCATGTAAAGTGTAATTTAGCCAGTGCAGGGATTTAAAGTGAGGAGTAAGTAATAGCATTTTCCAAGAAAAGATATAATGGAGTGAGGCCTGGAAGAAGGAAGCTGTAATGATCAAGACAAGAGAATTGAAGAGAAATGAAAAAGTATTCAAGTGGAAAGAAGAAAACAGGAAAAAATAATTTCAAGGTTGCAAGAAAGAACAACCTTATTTGATTAAATAAACTTTTTCCCAACAATCATGTGCCCTGAGATTTCAGGTTTATTTTGCATGGAGTCCATGCTCTAGACAGCTCAGCTGCTTTTTGACCTTTGTAATATAATAAATGCCAACTATGTCAACTCGATTTTCTAGAATGTTCTAGAAACTTTTTTTTATTCTCCGTGTTTCCTATTTTTCTTCCCGAAACCTCTTGTTGTCCAATATTTGTTAGTAGAGAAGCAGTGGTTTCCCACCTCTTCAGCTATCTCTGGGTCCTAGTTATTTGGTTTTAAAAATATGTCGCACAACAGTTTGTGAGTAGTAGGGTTAGATGTGCATAGGACCAGCCAATGTGTTTTTCCTAGTCAAATGGTTCTGAAGTCTGCACCTGGAGTACAGGCAGAAATAACAGCTTGATGAACTCTACTCATCTTGTCAGAGGACACTGACTTTTTTTTCCTTTCATCTGTTGTAATATTTCATCAAAATGGCAATTGGAAAAATGTGCTTCACTATTTGCAAGAAATAAAAAAAGATGTCAAGGCTTGTTAATGTCATTGAGCAAAACTGTGTGGCTTTTAGGATTATATAGCTGCAAGTATTATGGAATTATTAATTTAAAAATCTATATATGAATAAAGCATCTGGTGACTGAATAAGAGTAATTTCTCTCACATGGATAATTTAAATACCAGCTGTCTCCATCCTAAACCATATTTTCTCATAAAAGCTTTTAAAGAGTCTGTCTGATGGTTGTGAAATTCCAAGATTTATAGGTAGTGTAAGGTCTGCCTATACAAGGATCTGAATCTTGGCTCATAACTAAAAGCCACCTCCAATGAACGGTTCAAAGCAAGTGCAAAAGACCCCCAGGAGAAAACAAACAATTAAGCTTTACAGACTGACTCCTCCTAAATGTCTTGTCAAAACTGTAAAAGGTTCATTTTAATATAGGGGATAAACTCAAAGGGGATAAAAGAAAATGTGAACATTTTCCTTTAGTTATCTGCTGGACAGGTGGAAGAATCTGACACTCTCTGAGATCATTAGAGTAAATCAATATAATTGATAAATTGCCATGTTCTTTTATGATGGCTTTACCTGTACTCTTCATCTTTATCCATTTTCTTTCTGATATTAGTGACAGACTAGAAAACTGGCCACGAGCTACTTTTGAATAGTCCTCTAACTGTCCCTAGATACTTTTTAATACACTTCAAAAGTACTTTCTTCTTTATTCTAACACACATTTCATACTGACTGTATGTTGAATTATTTTTCACAATTTGAATATTTCAAAAAGTCTAATGAAGAAAGAGAGAAAATCTTCAGATAAACCCAGCACTCTGTGGATGTCGTCTTTCTGAGATCCTTGTCAGACAGTATAAAGTGATGGTCTCTGAGAGCTTCTTCATTCAGCTCCTGAAGAATGGGTTTCTTGTGGTGCTTTCAGAATGCAAGAAAACACAGCTGGTCAGAAAACGAAATTCTCTTTGGGAAGTTGCATCAACACTTCGAAAATTTGTTTGGAATTATAGAATAGAATCATAGAATCATCGAATCAACTGGGTTGGAAAAGACCAGATGAAGGATTTGGGGTCCTACAAAACCACCCCTTTAGTTTTTTCAGGTGAGTATACCTCTGATGCAATACAAAAATGAGCCATGTTAGTCACCACATGCCATAGAGTTAAAAGTGACTATGATTCTAGGATTTGACTATCTTGCATCAGTAAAAGCCACTGCATCAATTTCCAGCTAGGTTCTGACCTCTTCTCCTTGTGTTTCTTCAATTTCTCAATATTTTCAGCTCACATGTCTGAGTTCATCATGCTATGAACAATGTCATTTGAACCTGAAATTGTTAAGTCTATGCACATTGTTCATAATACTTGACACACTATGTAATCCAGTGTGTTTCCAGTAAACAGGAAAAAAAAAAAAAGAGAAAATCTAACAGATTTCCTGCTAAAATATCCTGGTTTAGGATTAAGATTATTTCACTTTATCCTCCATAATTGTATTTCATAGTCTAAAGAAATATCTACTGACTAAAATAGCTAGTAACTAATTGTTGTGTGGATTTTTGCAGATTTTTTACTTTGCAGTACATGCAGAATTTTTATGTTCTCATTCAGAACAAAGACAAACCTTAAAATCACAAGAATCTGCTTTCAAATTGTAACTATTATATAAAATTAGAAAAGCGTGTTGAAATGTTACTAGAGACACAACCCATGTCTTTTGGGATCTTCAGTCATGATTTGAAGATAACAGGCATCAGAGGCAGAGCAACTCACAGTATGTATATGTGGTTTCAATTCAGCCTGCTTCCAGCAACATGCAAATTTATGCTTGATTTCTCTTATTTCTCTTCTAATTCTGAGTGGGGAACAGGAAAAAATTAAACCCAGAGGGGCTTCAAAAAGATTCTTAAGATTTTAGAAAAAGTAAAGTCTTGATTGATTCTCCTAACCACCTTGAACACAGAACTTCCAACAGAAGCCTGTGTGTTTGTACAGCATATCAGTTACAGCAGCACTGAATTTCTTTTTTGAGATGCTGATGTTTTAGCACGTAACTCAGAAGTACTTGCTCTTCCAAGTGTCAGTATTCAATGACAGGAAAGAAAATAAACTACTTTTCTTAAAATGTAGTGTTTTAATTGAATGCACACAAATGTTATGAACCATAATTCTATTGAATTTTTCTAAGTGCTTTCTGCAAATCATAGTGTAGTGACATTTGCATTTTACAAGAAAAGTGCATTAGCTGACTTTTATATGGGAAAGAGAGGTTAATTCAATTCTGGGCTGTAATGGAGGTTAAACATAAAGCTTTAATGTTCTGGAGTTCATCCCAAAATAATAATTCTGCTAATGAAATAACTCATTTGTAATTCAACCAGACTAAATGGAAGTGTTTTTAAGAATTGATTGCTTAACACTTATAATGCAGCTTAAATCTTTGGACAATGAAGCATGCTTTAGAATTGTGAGGGTGTTTCAATATCGTCCTAAACACCACATATTTAAAAGCATGTCTTCAAATTACTTTATAGTGCTGAATTATCATTTTTTTGATGGACCACTTATAGATCTAATATGTACCCTAAAAGTACATGGTATGATGACTAGCTAACGCTGAACAATCTTTCCTGAAGTAATTCTGATTGAATTGGTTATTACAAAAAAATATGCATTGCAGCTTCAGCTCTTTTTTTTCTTTTCACAAATCATTCGTTAAAAATTTTTGAGCACAGGAGCATATATATTATTCATAAATACTTATTGTATAGTCTCAATTAAAAAAGAACCATACTATAGATTGTCTGTGATTCATTGAGCTATTCAATAGATGGATTGTTTTGTGTCATGTTTTTTTGGTGGCATGTCTAAATCATGGAAGGCAAGTAGTATGTAACAAATCTGTTGTTCATGCCTAAAAGTCCTGACTTACATGATGTTAAGGGTATTAGGGTGAAAATTTGTCCCTTACTAAAAGCATCTGTGAGCAAAAACTTTTCCACAAAGTCGCAAATGACTCCTAATTCATGGAGAAAGTATATGCATGCCTGAATTTGACAGTGTTTCATTGTAGAAAGCATTCTTCAAAAACCTAAAAATATATATCTACCATGTCTCTCCCCAAAGTAAAACCCAAATCACCAGATCAGTTTTTTTCTTTCTGCCACTACCTACCTCCACATGCCAAAGTGAAACCCCCAAAACCAAAGTCAAACCCAAACCAAAGGCAGGTCAGTGCAGGTTATCACTCAAAGGTACAGACTGATGTCTATCTCCAAAAAAGAAAGTCTCTTGGACAAATCTCAGGACAATGGTGGTTTCATCAATGAGAAATGCTCAACACTTTACTAAGTAAGCGTCCCTCAAGGGAAATAACGTATTGCATAGGTAAATCTGGGATTGGAATATATGCATCATTAAGACCACAGCACTCCCTGACCATGCTGCTGGTGGTGCTCCAGGGAAGGAAGAGTCATGCCCCTGCTCTGCCATTGTGGAGCATCTGCAGCTTATCCTGGGCGAGAAACTAGGGCTCAGACACTGATAGCTGATGTCCCATTTTTTTTTGTCTGTTTTGTGAAAGATTAAAGAAATATGAGCATTTAAACCAAAATGCCTGAAAATGTTCAACTACTCTTCTAAATTTTCTGTCATCTGGGTTTTTTTTCCTCATTCCATAGACTGTCAGATATCTTTGTGACCAACCACCACATTTCTCTGTTCACAAGTCACATTGTACCTCTGCTCTTACTCCTTTCAGTAGTATTAGTGGAGATACACAGCTGTGATAAATCACTTCATCTCCCTGTAAGCCTTGCTACATTTGAATGGTATTTGAAGACTTAGATGTTAAGGGCAGAAGAACTTGTTAGGTGATCCAACCTACAAAGAAGATTCCACGTACCCAATCTGGATCCAGTTTGTGCCCACGCATTTTAGAGTACCTGATTAATCACCTTTCTAATGTTCAAGTCTAAACACTCTACCTACTCAATAGAGATCAGTGGAGGCTTTTCTCTAGAGGTGGTTTTCCTCTGCCTGGCTGTGAGGATCTGAGTTAGGTGACCAACCCTCCTTTCAAAAACCCTCCAAAGGTAATTAGATTTTTTTTTTTTTAATGAAGGCTGTGTCCATCTTTCTTATATTAGGAAGGCTGTTTTGTCAGGCTTGATTTTATACATAAATTTAGGCATAAGCTATAATATTTATGCTAGCTGGACCACTTTTGACTCTTAAAATGAGTGGCTTTCTGTATTTCTCATCATTCAAAGTTCAGTAACTAACTAGAAGGAAATCAAGGAGATCTGATCTTAGCAGCCATAGGACTAGAGCAGATTTAAAACCTCTTCCTCCTCCTGACTGCAGAATCTCTGCTCCCCTTGCATGGTGGCTGATCGATTGGCATCCTCCATGGGAAACAGCAGCATATGGCAGAAATCTCCCTCCTACAGACACAAAGCAAAGCTGGGCATTTGCCACTGTAGGAGCAGGGGAATAAGATTAAGGACAGGAAGACTGCTGCCCAAGCCAGAGAGCTGGCCTTTTTGAAGAAAAGAGCCTGCAGGCAAAATAGAAATTTCTTATGGATCTAATTCCCAGGCTGGCTATTAGCTAAATACACTGATTTAAAACCTAACTTCTCTGTCAGAGCAATGTGTTTCACAAAGTCATCTACTCATGATCGGAAGACATCAAGAGATGAAGATGGACTTTTCTTTACATTTTTTCCCAGTGGCTAATCAGTTTGCAATTACAAACTGGTGCATGATTTTATATTTGGCTTCATTTCTAGCTATGATTCTTTTTATATCTGTCTTTGTTAAAGAACCTTTTAGCACTTTCTGGTTTTTCCCTTTGAAAGTATTTAGATACTGCAATTATGTCACTCTTAGTCTGCCCTCTCAAAAGCTAAATTACTTGAGCTGTTAAATTTTTACACTTACACACATTTTCTTCAGCTCTCAAAGTCAATTTTTATGACCTTTTACTTCACCTTCTTCTGTTTTCTGATGTCTTTCTCAAAATTTGGCCCCTAGAACTTTCAGTGGCATACCAATACCAATACCAATACCAATACCAATACTAATCCTACTTCTGCTGCTTACATATTCAGAGATTATAACAGCCCATTTTCCTACAACAGTGGCCAAGTATTGAATTGCTTATCGGCTGTCACTGCGAAAGGCATTTTGGAGTGGTATCTTTCCTACTCTATGGATGGCATATGCACTCTTCCTTTCAGCCATATTATTTTGTGCTTGGATATAATTAAACATATTTTGTTTGAGTAAACCCAAGTCTTCTTGGGATTGCTATCAAGCATCCCATTAGTCTTTGCCTTAGATGACAATTTAATCAAGTGGCACTGTATATTTATTCCAATTCATTAATGAAAAAGTGGAATAGGATCAGACCTATTTTTAGTCATAGCAAGGCTCCTTTGGAAAAACACCCATCAGCAAATATTCATCATTTGACAAATACTTCTTGGTCCAACCTAGCTCTTATCCCACCTAATGTGTACCATATCCTACAGCATCAATTTTAATCAGAATGTTCTATAGTGCTACAGCAAATGCTACAAAAAAGCACCAAGCATCTTGGTCTCTGAAGCTACATTTAGTGATCAAACAAAAACCCCTCAAGGGAGGAAATCAGATTTCCTTGGTATTCTATTAAGTTATTTTTGTTGTCATTAAGTCTTTATTTCTCTATCCTAGTACTTTATCAGCTAAATCCTTTTTCATTTTTTTCTGTAATTTTCTTTGGGTTGGTGTTGTAGTATACTGAGGACAACCATAAAAATAAAACTGGGCACTTCATGATGATGACTTAAATTCAGCTTTTTATTGCTTCATCCAGAATATTACATCTTGTTCTCACACAGCTGCACTCACGCTCTGCCTGTAGAATCTTACATACCAACACTATTCTTAGCTTTATTATGTATATATTATTACCAGCCTTCACATATGATTGGATGTTCACTTCTTATTTACATTCTTTCCTTGCTGCTAGGCTCCACAGCCTTGCTGCATCCTCCAACAGGTTGGTGCCTGGCTAACTGATTTACTGAGCTCACCACTGCTGAATGGTTTTCCATTTGAACACTGATAAGCAATGTTCTTCCAACTTTGTTGTGTTGGAAGCACTCAGAAATTGTATTGCTTCAACAAAAAACTAAACCCCTTCCACAAATGAATGAAAAATACCCCAAACGCATGGAATAGATGTCTTTTTTGATGAGTCTTGTGCATATTTTCATCGAGGTGAAGATAATAAATAGATTATTTATATTTTTATTTTCTTTTGATCCAGTGCTTGTTCTGTTGGTTTTTTTGGCTTTTTTTTTTTAGTATGTGCTCTTTAACACTCCTCTTGGTGACCAGTATCTTGCAGAGTACTCCTTCCAAGTAAAGAACAGGAATATTTTGAACATTCCAGATTTCTAATGGTCAGTGCTTCCATTTTCAGCTTGGAAATATTACCAACTACTTCAGATTCTTCTCTTTGTTTTCGCCAAGAACAGATTATGGGTGCTGCCAAATCCATTTGCTTGACAGAGGCCACAGCTCCACGTCCCCAGGGCCAACTGGGGGGATGTGTTTCCTGTGGCTGGTTGGAAAGAACCCCCCTTACTGGGAAAAAACATACTTATGTATACAGACGTGAGTCCAGCAGCAAGGATCAGGTGCTCAGCCTGTCCTGTCACAGTTCATATTGTCCCTGGTCTCCTCTTGCCACATACAAACATACATGGAAGGCTGCACTCCCTAAAAGGTCCTTCCCAGAATCCCACCCTTGGCCCTTGCCTCTGGGGGTCCATTGGCTTTGTGAGGTGACCCCAAAGCCTTTCCTGTCAGTTTGTCTGGGGGTACACAGGTTGGCACCTCTCATGGGACAGACTCAGGAGGAGACAGGACAGGGGTTTTCCCAGGCTTTTTATCGAGTGCCCCCTCTAACCCCCACCATTGCTTCTCTGTGCTCACAAAGGTAAGTCTTAGTCTTAGTCTTTAGCTTAGAAGCACTAAAAGCTTCTGATTGCACAGCTGTTGATAGGCCTGGGTTCAATATTGCCTCTTCATTCTTCCTTTCCTACTTTCTGGGGTACCTTGTCACTTGCTACCTTTTTGCTAGCTATCTTCTCATACATATAGTATCCCAAATGTTTTGTTGGTTTCTTTACTATAAAGGTGAAGCTTTTGACTAATTATTTTTCAGGTACTTAGATTTTCACTTGTTCTGTTGCAGCTACCTTTCAGTTTTGTTTGTACTTTGTCTTGGCTTTTGGAAATTACCACTTTGGAAGTGCTGCCTGTGTTATCCGTCTGCCAATCTACAAAGCCCTTTGAAACTGTCCTCTTTTTGCCCATGTTGAACACAATTTGATTGCTACCATTGATCTTTAGATAACTGCCAACTATCAGTTCTAATGATTTGGTCATCTTCTTTGTTATACAATAGTTGCCTCATGTTGGGTTTAGAATAGAGACAATCATTAGATCAGAAACTCTACTGATGATTTACTGTAAGCTGATTGAAACCTGCAGCATGCATTTGGCAGGCTGAAGCTTCCAAAAATCACACCTCTTGCCCCACATCACTGATAAGTAAGGATGAGTTCATCCTATTCTGTAGTTTGATTAGGTGATCTCCAACAACTCCTCATCAGAACCCACTCTCAGGTTTTGTTAGTGATCCCATCGATCCATGTATGTTCAGGGTCCTGCTGTTCTGAGTTATCAATAACTCTAAAGCAAGTAATTGCCTTCTAAAATGAGCACATATCCAGCATCTTTTCCTTACATAGCCTTTCCCAAACAGGTTAAAGCTGTGATTTTATCATTCTAAACAAGAAAAGAGTCCTATCAGGTTTCAGTAATGCCAATTGTATTGAACTTCTTCTCATCAACAACAATTTTAAATTATTTTTGTTTACCACCCGAATTTCTACTGATGGTATAAAAATAAGAGAAACTTCTATTATTTTCATTATCTTTGCAACATTACTTCAAAATGTTTGGAATATTCTGGATTTAAGTTGCATGAATTATTTTCTGAATATCTTTCCTTGCATGTCTAGTTTTTTAATTGTTCAGATAGTTTCTAAGAAACAAATTGTTTACCTTACTTATGTGATAAAGGTAATCTACAGACTGTCTACTTCATTTGCACCTAGCAATATTCTCAACAATTTTCTACCTTTTTTTGCCCCTGAGTTTAGAAATATCTTGGAGAAGATCACTTGAGCCTATCTCTTTATCATCTCGTATCCCAGACTTGGACAATTTCCCTTATACGTGAGAAATTATATCTTACACTCTTTATTATTTATACTTATTATATTTTATACTATCCCTTGGACAGATGTCACCAATTTTTTGACTTCTAGTCCTCCTTACCTCTGAATGAACTGGACACCTTTCTCAAGATGATATCCCTGATGAGGGCTGTTTTCCTTTCTGAGCTGAGTATGCAATACAAGTACAGTCCAGTACAAACATTCCCATGTTCTGTCTCTTAATTAAGATGCCTAGATAGTTTGATTCAGAATATTTGATAATCTTACACTATGTATGAATTAGGTTGAATGCTTCCAGGGAATCTTTCTTTGATAACAGAGCTAGTAGATGTTCTCTTGCTTTATATAGTTTGCCCTAAATATACTGAATGTGTGCTTATGACATAATAGCTGTTTCGAAAGGAACAAGAAGAAATGTGCACTTTGGAAGACCACAAGAAATTTCACAACACAGACAAAAGAAGACAGATGGACTAAATGAGAGAGGGAGTGTGGTTTCTTAGATGAAACTGGAAAAAAAGAAAAAGAGAGAAAGAAAAGGTCCAAGATAGTTACTTTTTTATAATTATATTAATAGCTGTGGAGATCAGTAGAGATATGACTAATTTAGATTTCTATAGAAGGTGTTTGCATCCAAATCAGACACTCTAGGCTCCCTCTCTGGTTAGTGCAGATTAACAGGTACTTCTAGTGCATGATTCCTCTCATCCTAAGGCTAAAGTCTATATTTCATCAGGTGAGCTGAGTCTTAAAAGCACTCATTTCTCCCCATGGATACCTTAGTTGTGAACACTGAGGTTCTAAAGGTAGATGAGATGAATTCTACCTTCACTGATTAATGTCCAAACACTCAATTTTTTGAAACTGTGGTGCTAAAACCACAGTTGAAACTTGGTACTAAACAGCTCTTCCTTAAGCATTTAAGTTATCTAGGACCTTCGCCCATAGCAAAGCCTCACTTCAGTAGAAGTTGCTCAGCCACTGAGATAAAATTTATTAACAATACGTTATGTCTTTGTCTGTTTTCCAAATGACCATAAAGTTACTAATTTAAAACCATAAATTACATTGTAATCTCATGCATAGCTAATATTTTATTGATTGTTCATAATGCATATTGCACATTTAGATTGCTAATAAATTCCTGATTCGTACTAACTACATTTATTTTTCTAAGTGAACAAAAATGTCCGTAGGAGAGCCTTCAGACTTAAATTCTTCTAAATAATTTATAGCACCTAATTTTACTGTAATTTAAATTTTAGTTTCTGGATTTTACCTGTTTCTAGCCCATAGGTGAACTGTGTTCTGTGCCAGCTTCCTTATTAATTTATAAACATGAAGTCGGCAATGTCACAGAGACAAAGGATGCACATTAAAGTAATGTCTCACAGCAGTATGACTTCCAGCTGGGGAATTCAGTGTTAGAGTTGTTACAACTTCTTTCTGCAAAACTCTTAGAGCTCTTTCTCTTGAAGCAGCTTTTTCTACCTGTTACTGCATGAAGTGCTGCCTCAGTTAGGAGTCAGTAGGTTCCTCTTCTTTTCTGAGAGTTAGGAAAAGGACTCTTACCCTGGGTTAGGCAGCTCAGTTTAAATACAGGACAAACCAGTTTGTCTGTGGAGATTGGTCACTAAATTTTCTAAGACAGCTCACAGGGAAGAGAATGCATCATCTGTCAGCAGCCTGACATACCATAAGGATGTGATGAGAAAAGGCTCTAGGAAAGCCTGTGAGAATGAAAAGTATATTAGAACATGCCAGCAAAGCTGGTTCTTACTGTTAGGCTTTCCTCAAGCTAACCATACTCTGTTGACTTTTGATATGTTTATATTTCTCTGTTGGATTGCCCCTGGGGATTACTGTGGTGACAATGCTTCAAGCATCTGCTCGAGGGAAACCTTTTAGGTCCTTCCTGAACACTTGGGCTAAGGCTGTCCTAATCATCACAGAGTAAACTTGTGCTTACAAGTAAGGGCTCACCAGCTCTTGTTCATATCCCAGATTCATCTGTACCAGAAGCTCGCACAGGGCAGGGAATCTCATATACAGAGCTTTAGCCTCCTGAATGACTTTATGGCACTTGATATAAGATTTTTTTTGTGCTTCGTCTGGATTTCTGGATCCCAGCACACCAGCAGGACCCAAAGATGGCTTGGTTTACTCTTGACAAAAGAAAGGAAGAACAGAGTATAGGCTGGGACAAAGGCGGAGGGAAAGAGAGGTCTTGGAACAGGTACCAGCAACAGTAATAATGTTTTCTTCATTTCTTTTTCAGGTCATCTTCTCCATCTTTAAAAATTAACCCTCATCCAAAATTTATTAAAACACTGAAGAGGAACCAGTGTCTGGCATCCAATACAAGAGATCAAGATAAGGTCTGTTTCTGTATGAAGAGTATCCTGCTTCGGTCCTGGCTCCAGTGGGGATCTGCACATCTCTAACACATCTCTAGCATCTGCCCTGCTGCATGGTACTGTGATTAAGCAGAAGAAGCCTTGGAAGGCCTGTTTTGCAGATAATCCTGCATGGAAGTGATAGGCTTGTCCCAGCATCTTAGGAGCACTGAGATGATAGAAAGCCTTAAGTTAGGGACCTGCTGGACCTTGGTCTGACCCCCACCGGTGGTGATGGTGGAGTGGGCAGACAGATCTTCTCATCATGATCCTGTATTGAGACTCCTCTTCCTTCCTTCGGCCATCATTTTTCTGCATGACACTAAAAAGACACAGCAGGTTTCAAACAGAAACCCCATCTATGACCAGATAATATGACTGTATCTGCTCTCTCCTTCTTTGAAATAGGGTGTTTTATAGAAGAAGCGTAACAGGGTGAGTTTGAAGGATGCCGAGATTGAAAAACAAGACACCGTTGAGAACTCAACAATAAACCCAATATTTATTACAAAAGTGGCCAAGTAAATGGGAACCCGAGAGAAAGAGAACAATAAGAGAATATGACACCCTACTCATTCAGGTGCAACAAATGAAGTTATCTTACCCACTCCAAATATCATAGAATCCTCTACAGCAGCTGCATCCTTCAGAGGGGTAATGGCTCACACGTGCAGGCATCCCTGCTATACACAAGTGGTCCTTTGTGTGAAGCAAAAATCCCTCGCAAAAAGCCAGATGATTGCTTTTATACCATTAACTGATTGCGTCTGTCTGGGCAGATGTGACCAGTACTGCCCAGACAGAGGTTCTCAGTCCAACCCACTTGGTTATATAAGTGTACCCTTTCAGTGCACGTATGAATACTTTGGAATTCCCCTATTACATGTGCTGTTTAACTCAAGGGGGCTTATCTATTTGGGTCTGGGGGCTTTACTTCATCTTCTCTTCTTCAGTTTCTCCTTCAAATGTCCTCTATAGACAACATGCCAATCACAGAACACCAATTAAAACAGTTTATACAAGAAACTCTCTCTTCAAGGATGAAGCTCCCGTTTATCAGTGAACTTGGCAGGCAAAAAGCAAAACCTTCGCAGATTGCTGGGCCAAACACAGACCAAAAAATATCAACAATCCCTGATACAGGAGGGCAAGCACATAAACCAGGCTGAGATGCAGGTAAGTTGGCTGGTGGTAGAGATGGATCCTAAGGTGAAGGGAAGAAAAAAGGTGAAGGGATCTGTGTTGGGGAGGGTGTTTTATTTTCTAGTAAGGATTATTTCAGTTGAACACTCCTCTGCTAATTTATGGGAAATGTTTTAGGATAAAAAAACTTGGTTACAGCATGCAGACTGCTAGGATAGATGCTAATTGACTGGGTTACACATATTTATATTGTGCGTCATCTTGACTAAATGATTTGAGTCATTTCTGGGGACATACATCCAGTGTATCAGATGGAGCATCCTCTGAGCATCCCTGTGACTGACTGCTCCTGAGTCAGAAGGCCTGCAACGTGCTTTCTGACAGGGCAAGGTAAATGCCATCAGAGCAGACTGAGAAAGACTGTGAATAAATAAATACAGACTTCATAGAGTGTGTAGTGATATGTGTGTATATATATGTATCAGATAATGTCTGCAGTCTGTGTGCAAGATGCTTTTTCAGTTTTTTTCAGCTGTGTGGCTCTCTTCCTAGCTGTGAGACAACCTTTGGGCAGTGACTTTTCTTTTATGTGTTTTAATAGGGAACCTTAAATGCTAGCTCTGGTAAGAGCAAGAGGAGAAATGCACCCTCTGGGAGAGGTGAAATAGGAATTAGGCATCCATCAAACAAGAGTTCAAGGTGAGCTGAGCATTTGTGGATCATAATACTGAGGATTGTAAATGACTCACTGATTATAGTCCACTGCAATTGCAAGTGATCATGTAACAGCCATGAAACAGTCATTTTGCTGTTATCTGGAGATAAACTTGTAGATCAGGACTTAGGAGCATATGAAAAGCAATCAAAAAAAAGCAAAGTGTTTTTTACAGTCAGAAAGAAGGTAAAACACCATCAGTCCTCTGAATTCTGCTGTTCTATGATTTTGATGCTGCTAAAGAGCAAAACAGAAGCAATATTCTGCTTCCTGAACAGCCTCCACAAAAACTCTCTAGCCCCACTGACTGGAAGGTCAAACACTGGTACTCCCTGGCTGATGGATGGGGAATTATTCCACAGAAAGGAACTAGTGATGACACTACCTTTGTTTTCCTGTGTGTGGGTGATTTGACTCTCACAGATGCTACATTTGTTTAAGTGTGACTGTATGCAGGAAGGTGTCTTTCCTCTAGGACCAGTTGTTCTTGCACTTAACAGTTTTGGCTTGTGGTGACTTTCACTGAGACTTCTTCACAGAAGAAGGGATATCTCTAGTTTCTCCTAGGCAAGAGGCCAGGGCTCAGGATAAGATAGGTGGGAAGCTCATAGAAACATCTTCTGGTGTAGAGTCCAAGGCACAGGGAACAACTTTTATTGCACAGATGGTGTTTAGCTGAGCTTTCCTTAAGTGCTGTGTGAGATCTGGGAGAGGGTTTGTACCTGCCTGGTCACTTTGAAGAAAAGTGTGGGTGGGAGTTTGAAAGAAGCTCAAAATGTCTCTTAGAAGGACTAACGTTACCTATGTGTGTGAGGGCACTAGTATCTTTCCTGAGCAAAAATTAACATGAGGTGTTAACTGTAAAGATGTTAACTGCAGGACTTGAAACTTAGTACAAAATGTCCTGGCTAGTCCTATATAGCTTTTCTGTGTCATACATAAATACTTTGCTTAGAGAGTTTTAGTTTCTCACTAATATTCCTGTTTGAGCTCTGACTAATATTCTGCATACAGACCTATTCTTTCTTGATCAAATTTTATCATTACCAGAGGCGGATACTTATTATGCTGTGTCTGTTTTTATCTCCACACTTAATTCATCATATACTGTATTATTTTCTTATTTTTGCCATTTATATTCCATTGTGCATGGTAATTCAGGTTTTCTTTATATGACATGAATAGCTGTAAATGTAGGCTCTATGGACTTTTGCAGTGCAAGAGTAAAACCTAATTTCATTTCTATATAGCATGCCCTTTCTGAATTTCACATGAGAAATACTTGCTCTTGAGCTATCTAAATGAGAATACTTTGGTTTGAGTCACTGTGGCAGGTCACTTACTCATGCTACTTGTCAGCAACACGTTGATGCAAGCTGAAATGCATTGCCTTCTCATTTGTTTTTAACCTTAATGAAAACTTGTGTAGGAAAGGTATGCTGGCATAGCAATGAGGAATGACTCACTAACATCCTCTCCTATCCAGAAACAAAATGTCAGTGCAGCTGCTCAATCTTCATTTCCTTATATAACCAAAGGCCAGTCAGGTCTTAAAATTTTCTTTTCTATAGAAACTCTACTTTTCCAGAGCCTCTTTTTTGTATTCATGGGTGTGTGGGGATTATACGGCTTGAATTTCAGCAGAACAGCACAAAACTTTAAATCTTGCTCTCCTTTTCCCCCCTTACTTCCTCTCTGAGTCAGACAGACTAATTTATTATGGTGAAAGTAAGTGGGTTGTTTTCACCTGACTATTCATAAGGGCATATCATGCCAAAAGGAGCACACTCGACCATAATAAGAAATTACCAGCCTGTCCATTTCTGCATAAATACAGGTATTCATATTGAAACAAAGAGGGCATAAGTCATTCTGGCAGCTGAGACTTGCAATATACTGTGTGTGCTTATTGACAAAAGTATTTAAAAAAAATACCTCCCCTCCCCTGGTTTCTATAGCAACTGAACACTACATAATTCTAAAGCTAAAGGGTCCTGGATTTATCAAGTCTGGGCAGCTTAGGTGTCTTGAGTACTTTTAGTGCAAGCGTTGTAGTTACACACCTCCCCTTTCCAAGTGTGTATCTTAAAGTACTGCACAAACTTGGTGTCAAAGATGAGTTGAGGCTGTCACCCTGGCAGCCTCAAACTCCTCTGCCAGGATCTGTGGAGTGGATATGACAGCATCCCTATAAGCCTTTTCTTATTTTAATCCACCATCCTGATCTTTGGAGCACTACAATGAAGATCTGTGGCTTATATTCATCTTTCTTAAGCATCTTAAATTCTAAGTGTGTTTCTGCAGGGCTGGTAACACTTTTAATTTTTTTTTTTTTAATTCTAGATATGCATTATTTTGTTGGAGGAGGAAGGACTCTAAGTTTAGAGAACAGGTATATTTTTACAAATTTTAAAAACAAATAAGCTGCAGCTCCCACATTCTCAAATTCCCAGCACAGGTAACATACTACAGCTTGTTTTACCAGGGAAATAGTCTGCAGCAGAGATGTTAATTGTTCCCTGTCACGCACTGAATCACTGCTGGCAATAAAGTCTTCACGAATCCTGAAGCTTAGCAGAGGACTGTTCTGCTTTTGAATATATTTTGCTTCTAATAAATTTTGAAACTTTTTCCTTAAATATGTAGGACCTTTAGACATTGGAGCTTTACAATGAAATCAGTCATGGAAAGCATGAATCAACCAACATGGGGTTGATAATTCAAAAATCTTCAGCAGTTTCTTTTCAGTTCTATTTCATTGTTGATATTGTATGCAAAATATAAATATTTTATACAATAGTGGGAAAAAATAGATTTTGACAAAAAAAAAAAATCTTCGAAATAATTCCAGTGTCATGAACTGGCATTGAAGAGTTTTATGAAAAGAAAAAAAAATTGGAAACAAACAAACAAAAACGCTGAGAAAAATACCCTAAAGAAAAAAAAACCAGACTGATCTTAAGTCCATTATACTTCAAAAAAATTACTTCAAAGGGTTTGGATTAGATCCATGCAATTTTTTATTTTTCTTCAAGAGTTGCATGTGAAATGGCTAACTGAAGATGTGACCCAGGGCTTTGAGTAGCTTTGATTTTGTTCTTAAGCAAAAGAGGCTGTAGGTATTGAA